CGGTACTTAAGCACCTTGATTTAGCCAAGAAAGTAATGTGTTTTGTTTATTTCCAGTTCCTTTGGTGATGGTGTCCATCACTTGTTAGCCTTTCTAGTCACACTAATAAATAAGATTTATGTTTTTATCAGATAGTTTAAAATAATTCAAGGTATGTTTCCTATGTGGTACCAGATAGCCAGAGCTCTATAATAATGGGATGTCAGAGTTGGAAAGCATCTTAAACTGATCATCTGGTGATTCTAGTCTAACTTGAACAACATTTTACACTTGAAGAAATATTAGACTAAGCCAAGACTCCCCAAGGCAGGGAGATAGTTTCTAGTATTTTAAGGGGGAGCTTATGAGACATTAATGTTAATATCCTGAAGAAAGTTTATTTTATATTAATTTATTAAAGAAAAAAACAAATTGTACAACTCAGTTTAGTTCTCAATCTATAGCCTAGAGGTCAGGCTTGATTTCACAGTCATGAATTTTCTGTGAAGAAGTGAGAGCCCAGATCCCTGCTCTGCAGACCTGGAAGATACAAACTAGATGGAATATTAACTGTTGACATAAGTGGGCACTTAATTATGTTCAAATAACATTTGAAATGATAGAATTCTGCCAACTGCAGAGCATGGCTTCTCTCTTGATCAGAGTTAGCTGAATGTGAGATTTGGAGGGCAATGCTGAAATCTTTTGAGGAAATACCAAACTATTTCCCAAAGCAACTGCACTGTTTTACATTCCCACCAGCAATGTATGAGGGGTCCAATTTCTCCACATCCTGGCTGACATGTGCTATTTCCCAGTTTTTATTTGTTTTGTTTTATTTTAGCCATCCTAGTGGGTGTGAAGCAGTATGTCAATGTGGCTTTGATTTGTATTTCCCTAATGGTTAATGATGTTGAATATCTTTTCATTTGCTTATTGGCCATTTGTATATCTTCTTTGGAAAAATGTCTGTTCAAACCCTTTGCCCATATTTACGTTTTTGTTTGTTTGTTTGTTTTGTTGTTGTTGTTGAGTTGTGAGAGTCCTGTAGATTTGTAGATACTAGACTCATATCAGATATATGATTTGCAAATATTTTTTCATATTCTGTGGATTGCTTTTCACTTTGTTGATGGTGTTGTGCTTTGCAGCACTAATGTTTTAAATTTTGATAAAGAATCATTTATCTATATTTTCTTTGGTTGCTTGTGCTTTTGGTGTCATCTAAGAAGCTGTTGCCGAATTTAATCTCACAAAGATTTACACCTACCTTTCCTTCCAAGAGTTTTGTAGTTTCAGCCCTTACATTTAGGTCATTGGTCTTTTCTGAGTTAATGTTTATATATGATGGGAAGTAGGGCTCTAACTTCATCCTTTTGCATGTGGATATTCAGTTGTCCCAGCACCATTTGTTGAAAAGATATTCTCTCTGTTGAAGGGTCTTGGAACCCTTGAAAATCAGTTGACCATAAGTGTATGGATTTATCTCTGGAGTTTTGTTCTTGATTTGAATCTTAGCTTTGCTACTTGCAAGCAAGTGTGACCTTGGACAAGTTACCTTTTTTTGTAATAATAGTACCTACCTTTTAGAGGGTTGTTGTGAAATTTAAATGCAATAATGCATGTAAAGGTATTGCAAAGGTGCTTAGATAATCAGGGAAGTAGGGAAAATGGGGGATATTTGAAAAGATTTTGAAATATAAGGAGTAACCAAAACAAGTAGGCTTCATAAATGAGAAGTGAAGGAACAGGTGTTTGAAGAACTTGAAAAAAGTATTCGGTTACCAAAGATTGGCTTAAGCAGTTAATATATGATAATAAAGTAGAACAGAATAGAAACAGTATAGAAAAGTTACTTACAATAGGCAACAGACAGTAACCATCTTATATTATTCTTTATGGAGCTGAAATCAGTTAAGGTAGGTTATCTTAGAGCACAGGTGTTTGTTGTTTTTTCTGTCAAGGACTCTTAAAAATCTTTTGAAAGCTTTGGACAACCCTCTCCCCATAAAAGTGCATATATGACATACACACAGCATTCTGCAAACAGTCCTGGTTAAAAACCTATTTTGACCCTACCTAAGGCAATCCTGACCCATAGCATACTTTCCCAAGCTTAATTTCATAGTGAGGTTCAAGTGTCACACTGATTCATGAACAAATTTTAGGGTTCCAGGCAAAATTGAAGAGCTTTTCCTCTGTACAGAAGAATTTATATGACACTGTCCTGAGACTTAGGAGAGTTGTGGTACTCTAATTGTTTTTATATAGATTTCAACACATAGACATGTCTATCAGCAATGCTGCTGACCAACCCAGGTAGCTTCCAACACAGACATTGTGGAATGCAGACATGCAGTTCTCCAAGAGATACTAATAGAAGTGTGGTGTGAGGTGGAGATGGGCCTAGAAGAAAGAGATACGATTCTGGAAGGGACTAAAAATGAGATAGGCAGATTCAGAGAAACTCAGAGGGACACAGAGAGACAAAAATAGAAGCGGAAACACGCTGTTTAGAAACCGTCTTGTATATAGTCAAGATAAATTTCAGTGAAGGAGGCAAGATGATTGAAATAAAGGTGTAGGAGAAAGAGCACAAGCATTGGCATTAGACTGAGTCATGCTTTGAGTATGTGTGTTCCTGGTAGATTTACTTAATGACTCTGAGCCCCAGTTTCCCAGTTATAAGGTGGATATAGTAATAGTACCTTCCTTACAGGTTTCTTGAAATAATTTAATGAAATAATGTGTGTAAAGTGCTTAACATAGTACTCAGAATATAAGAGGTGCTCAATAGGCTGGCCGGTTAGCTAAGTTGGTTAGAGTGCAGCCTTAAAACACCAAGGTCAAGAGTTTGGTTCTGATACTGGCCAGCCACCAAAAGTAAGGTACATAAATAAATAAAAGAGATGCTTAATAAATGCTGGGTCCTTTCTTACTTTTAATTTAAGGGATACTTAAACAATTATTGAATACCTAGTTTGTGTGAGGCATCATGCTGTGAATAAAAATATGAAATGGGCATATTTACAGATATATAAATGAAAGAAAAGAGAATGTTCTGGAAGCCAACAGTGGTTGAGATAATAAACATGTAAATAAGAGAACTCTAGGTTTCTTGGCTTGGATGGTGATATTGAGCAGACAGGGAAAATCAGAAGAGGAGAAGGCATTTTGTTTGTTTGTTTGTTTTGCAGGAGCGGGGTGGGGCAGGGGAGCATAACAAGTTCATTTATGGACATGTTGAATTTGAGCCACTGAGGATATCAGGTGGAGCCATCTAAGGCAATATTTCTGCCTTCAGTTGAATTTGGAATCTTTCATCTCTAAAGTCTCTTCCAATTCTAAGATTCATTGTTTTACTTTTCATCTCTATGGGCGATGCTGATAGATGTTATAAGCTACAAAATACCAGCTAAAAATTTTCAAGCCTTTGTAAAAAAATTGTAAAATAAAGATACCACATGTCTTTTTTTTTTAAAAGGGGCCCATATAAACATCTGAACCTACTAAACCCACTGAGAGTGACTGCTTTACAAAAAGTCTTCATTTTTATATCCCAGTTTCCTATAGATTTACATTAAATAGCCAGTTAATTCAGTGCACTTAAAAGTTTGATTTAGAAATAGCTTTTAGGTATACATCTAATTGTACTTTTATGCACAAGTATAATTGTATTTAGTATTTATGTGTCCTGTGAGAAGGCTATGCATATATCAGAGATAAATGACAATATCAGAAAAATATCAATGGCAGAATCAAATTTTCAAACCCCAGTGAGAGTCTCTAATGATAGTGAGATGAACAAAAGCTACTGAAAAGTAAAATATGCCTTTCTCTTTCCTATAAACAGTATTAAACTTTCAGTCAATAAGATATGTTTTATATTTTCCTTAGTTAAGGCTAACTTTGAATATTTATGTGTGTGGATTTTAATTAATGGAAGACCTATGGCAATAAGTATTTATTTGTCCAGCTCAGAAATTCCTGTGGGAGAACAGATAGGTTGGCCAAGAGGCTAGTTTCTTGTCTGTTGGGTGACTTCTTTTACTCTCTGATGCAAACTAAAATGAAGGTTTCCAGATCTGAAAATTTCTGCTGCTCATCTTGCTAATTTCTATTTAGATCTTGATCCTGTTATGTTTTAGGAAGTATGAAAAGACACATAGGAGATGAGCTTCATAGCAGGCTGTGCTAGTTCAGAAGGTGTTCAATAATAAAACCAAGCTGAAGTCACAAGGTAACATGACTTCATCATTAATCAGCAACTATTGCTGAGTACGTTGAAAACTGAAATTATTTCCCATTCAGCTTAAGGGTTTCTGAAGGTGAGAGAAGAAAGTGAAAGTGAAAACTATCCATTTTTTGTCTCTAGTGACTCAGTTTACTAGAAATGGGAGGGAACAGAAATTTCTATGTGTGGTAATAGGAAGTAATTCAAGTTCACTCTCTGGAGAACTACTTATCCTGCACCAAGAACTGCATTTTTCTAAAGCTCTCTCTTCTTTTTATGCAGGCTCTCAGAATGGAATCATTTAGGGAAGTAGAGAGTTAGTTTGAAATATGGCCTTGTTTTCCTTCCACTGGATGTGAAATAAGAGCAGCCCCTATATTTTACCCTGAAGTGAAATAGAGAACAATATTGGAGAACAGAGATTGAGAATTTTACAGGGCCTCAGGCTCATCATAGTTCAGGACTAGAGGTGTCAGTTGAGAATATGTGAGAGAATGATCCATAACAATGTTGTGAGCTAGAATGGTAATATTAACCAGTAAACCAGGATTCAGAGGTGGCCACTCAGTTCTATTTATTAGTACAGGAAAATAAACTCAGGCATTTGTCAAAAACAAGGTTTGAAGGGGGATTAAGGCCTCCTGATTAATTCCTCAATTGCTTTCCTATTGCCCAAGCATCCCCAGGGAGTCCAGCATGTAAAACCTCCATTGGTTACTGTATAATTTTGCTATATCCACTTTTCCTTTGGAAATGCTTAACGATTCTTGCTTTGTATTCTTTGCAGGTGAAAGCCCAGCCTCTGCGGTTCTTAATGCCTCAGCAGGATTATTTTCACTAAAGATGGAAACACTGGAGTCTGAATTGACCTGTCCAATCTGCCTAGAGTTGTTTGAAGACCCCCTACTGCTCCCTTGTGCTCACAGCCTCTGCTTTAGCTGTGCCCATCGCATCTTGGTTTCGAGCTGCAGCTCTGGTGAATCCATTGAACCCATTACTGCTTTCCAGTGTCCCACGTGCAGGTATGTTATCTCGCTGAACCACCGGGGTCTAGATGGCCTCAAGAGGAATGTAACCCTGCAGAACATTATCGATCGCTTCCAGAAGGCTTCACTCAGTGGGCCCAATTCCCCAAGTGAGAGCCGCCGGGAGAGGACTTACAGGCCCAGCACCGCCATGTCTAGTGAGCGAATTGCTTGCCAATTCTGTGAGCAGGACCCACCAAGGGATGCAGTGAAAACATGCATCACCTGTGAGGTCTCATACTGTGACCGTTGCCTGCGGGCCACACACCCCAACAAGAAACCTTTCACCAGCCATCGCCTGGTGGAACCAGTGCCAGACACACATCTTCGAGGGATCACCTGCCTGGACCATGAGAATGAGAAAGTGAACATGTACTGTGTATCTGATGACCAGTTGATCTGTGCCTTATGCAAACTGGTGGGTCGTCACCGAGACCATCAGGTCGCGTCCCTGAATGATCGATTTGAGAAACTCAAGGTAAGGGATCTGGGGAATATCCCTTATGTAACTTTGTCTCTTAATACACAGTTATCCAGTTAGCAAGTTCTCTAATAACATGGGAAATAATGTAATAATATATATGACAAGTGAATTAGCTCTAAGTTGTTCTCGTGATGAATAAACTACTCACCTGCAAGCTCTCACTGGAGCCTATCTCATCTGTTGCATAAACCTGCTTGCATTCACATACTTATAGCCAATTCTAGGGAAGTTAGCTCATAGCCTGCCTCACCAATACTTCATCCAGGGAAACAACACTCTCCTCTGTCAGTGACATTTTGCACATTACATATCTTTGCTATGATCTTTCCACCTCTTCTTTTAAGTATGTGAGTATGTGTGTAGGTGTATTACAATTAGCATATATGCTGATTTGCATATGTATGTGTATTGCAATGGGAAGGTTGGGTGTGTCTCTGCGCAGGTGTGGGTGGAGGTATCTGAGTGTATCTATGTAGGTGAGAGATTTTTGTGGAGGATATTAGTTTATGTTTGTGTTGGCATTCCCAGTACACTAAAGAAACAAAAGTTTGGCATTGGCCACTACAAATTGCCATTAAGCACTTAACATGGGGCTAATTCTAAGCCTGCCTTTAAAAACAAAACAAAACAAAACAAAACAAAAAATAAACTTCAATGTACCATGAAATCAGGAGGGATGATCAAATACCTGAACTAAAAATGTAAACTGAAGACAATAAATATTTAATTTAGTATCACATTCTGTGCCAGTGTTTGTCATTGTGGGCTACATACAGCCTGAAGCACTTGTTTACAGTCCCTGCCTTGGAAGTTACTAGTCTTTTATTTGTGTTCAGTGGAAAGAGTTTTCTGAAGTTGTTTTGCCATATAATATTTATGTGCCTATTTTTAGAAAGTTCTACCTCACATTGATGTTACTAAATGTCAGATCCAGCAAATTGTTTTATTCCCGTTGCCTGCCTGCTATGTGGTATAATCTTTCTTAAGAAGGGAGTTACTTAGCAGATATTCAGAAAAATAATGTTTAAATGAATAGTAAGATTATCATCCCAAAATAGGGCCTGAATATATAAGCCAAGCTAGAAGAAAGATCCAGATAGGATGGAAGGAGGGCAAGAAGGGAGTGGAGATTTTCCTCCTGCCATGTTCTGTAAAATTCATTGTGTCAAAAGTACTCAGAATAGGACATATTTTCCATTCTGTAATTTGTTACAAGTAACATTGACAGTAGTCACACTGACAATGGTTTGTGCCTCTTTTGGTTATTATTTATATCTAATATTTATAAATTTGCACAAAATTAAATGTTTGTCTTTTGATTTAACTCAAAATGATACTCTCAATCATACCTAGGTTGCAGAGGGGAATAATCTCATTGACTTCAATTATTAGAATCATAAAGTGTTTGGCCTTGGACTTGGTCTAGTCAAAGCCCTGCGCTTTAAAGTTTTATCAGCTGAGACTTTGATAGGTTAAATTATTTGGTCAAAGTCACAGAACTGGTTAGTAGTAGGAGAGCTGGAACTGGAACTCAGCCTCTAGACCATGTTAACTATTCTTTCTACTGTAGCCTGCTGCCACTTTGTTTTGGATCTAAGTTTTCCCCATGAAATGTGATTTGAAACTCAACTTTATGCTCCGGCAACTGCATATTTTATGGGTCATAGATTAACAGCAACAAGGAAGGGACACATTGTAAAATTTACAGCTTTATAATGGCAAAAGATGGGGGCAGGGTTGTAGGAAGAATGGGGGATATGGAGAGGATGGAACAATCTCTGCCAAATATTTGCAGGTGTTTGGACTATAATAAGGAATTGGCCTTGAAATATTCCAAACAGAAAAATCTGTATCCATATGTACAGTTGAGATAACAAAAAGACTGGATAAAGTAAGCCTATATCTACAGAACACCAGCTATTTGAAAGCATCCAAAAACATGAAAACATTGTATGATTGATTAGATATTTGGCATCACACAGCTATAGACCTCATCTTCAGGGATAGATGTAATACAAAAATATTTTACCAAAAGACACTTCAGTCTGTGGCTAATCAGTAATTTTTGAAGAAAGAAAGGGCAGATTTTGAATAGTCTCCCTTTAGTTTTTTAGGAAATGTGCAGAAAATTCTGATTATAAATTAAGTGAAAACTATTTTTGCTCATTTTTGGATGGAGAGTGGAAACATATGAATCATTCCCAACTGTGTAGTTCATTATGTTGTCTGGAACATCTTGGGCTTTGGGGAGGGAGAGGGAGATTTTGCTTGAGTGTGCGTGTGTCTGTTGGCGGGGGGGTGTCACTTTGGTTTGGTGCCGAGTGTAAAAGGATATTAATTCTCCATGTTAAGCAGAGAGAAAGCCTGACTTTTAGTGTCATATATACTCACTTCTTTGGGTTAATTTTAAATTAGAAAAGCATTTAGGATTATCCCCTTAATCTGCCTGATTCTTCCCCAACAAGAAAGGAGAAAGCTGGCTGGCAGAACCTATGAGGGAGACTGCCTGATCATACTTTCCTGGCCTATATATATGAGGGTACTTCAAAAAGTTTGTGGAGAAATGGAATTAAAAGATAATAAAAATCTTCAATGAACTTTTTAAAGACCTCTCATTTATATATATACACATCTAGGAGACTGACTTTCTGGTCAGTAACTTATACAGTGTTTATTTTTACTTTTTGTTTCTGGGACTTCATTGTTGGCATTTTTAATTACCTTTTATGTATTAACCTCACTGATTAGTATTAGTGGCCTCTAATATTTATTCGTTCAATAAAGGTCAGAATAAACAGAAGCTAGCCTGTTTTCTTAACATGTACTCAAAATGGATTAGAGAGCTTGGGGGAACTTAAGATAATTTCATGATCTTATTTAGTTGTCTGGTCTACCTATAGGGTTGTGATGTAGGACATACGTCCTTCAGAAGACTACCAGTGGTTCAGTTAATTCAACTTCAAAGAATACTTGTGTTCATGACAGTTATTACAGTAGTCATGCCTATCAGAATAATTATTTTCTCCATTGCCTCTCTCCTTTCACTTCCTAGCCCAATACATATTTCAGTTCATGATATATGCTGTATTTCTATAAAACTGCTTCATATTTTAGAATTTTTATATCATGTAAGTTCCTCCCCTTATAAAAGATTGATATTATTGTATTAATAAATGTTGGCTTTATAAAAAGAAGTCAAATTTTGGTGGCTATTTATTGCTGACAGATTTCAATTTGATATTCTAAGTCCTGTAAAACTTGGTTCCCAGGCTGCCCATTTATCTTTTCTCCCTACTAGAGAGAACATGCTACCTTCATCTACCCAGGGGAGCCTCCTAACTCTCTGCTAAACATGCCATTTTCTTTTCTGACTCTTAGCTTTCATTAATGCTCTTTTTTTGGCCTGCTTAGAAATCCTACTTACTTTTTAATGCTTAATTCAAACCCGACAAGGCTACTCCAACACATCACAGCTATACCATAAACTTATTTCTTCTGTATTCTCCTCAGTGTTTAGCACACATAGTATATGCTCAAGAAATCCAAATGAATTAAGTCTTCATAATGGATTTGCAGGAAGTGTACCAATATCTATAGCTTGCTTTCATTCTCATCTTAGAAGATATAAATCTGTCTTGCCATTATGAATACTTTAGAAGTCTGAAAAAAAAATCTCCTGTGAACTATTGACAATGTTCCAAACCAGAGTGTTAGCAGAAGTATGGCATGTGCTTAATTTTAAGTGCCTATTCATTTTGATTGCTGGATTTTCCAACTGCCTAACCCTATGGTGACATCTGTATAAATCAGATGTGATTATTATAATTCTCTTTGAGAGTTATGTCTTCAAATTTCCATGCCCATAACCTGCCAAAAATATAGCTGATGAAAACCAAGGGGAATAGAGGAATTTCCTGAAAGGAATAAACAAGCACATTTTCTTTTTCTCATTACATTTCCACAAATTCATTACTACAAATAATTCTTAAATGGAGTTACATTTACATATCAGGGATCCTGTTGTTATAAAATATTACCTGGCACAGAAGTAAGCTTTTTGTCTTGGGAAAGTAAAACAACACACACACACACACACACACACACACACACACACACACACACACACACACACTCGAAGAGAGACTGAGACAGAGAGAGCTAAAGATTGCCTGACAAAGAGAAGGGAGATATGAGACTTGGAGAATGTTCAAAGGAAAGCCACACGAGAGTTAACAGGTTGGAAAATATGATATTCTAGAATCTTATTACAGCTGATTACTTGTCCTTCTTCCTACTCGGTCACTCTGTCATCCACCTACCCATTCTTACTCAGTCACCACCTTTTCCCAGTCATTTGTCTACTCACCCACTTGACACCCACTTCTGTCTGCCAACACAGATAACCTCTCAACTTATGCATCAATAAGCATTTGACTGTTTTTGAACCGGCATGAGTATGAGTATAAGAGAAAGAAAAATATCTTTATGAGAGACTAAGTTGAGAGAGGGTATATTTGCACACATATATATGCATCACTATATAGGAGTGTGTGTATTCCCACATGAATAAGTGGCTGAGAATGACTGTGTCTGTGTATCAAAGTGTATCTATAAATACACTGTATATGAAGATGAGAGAGTGTCTGTGTCAATCTTCTGATAAATTGGGTAGGAGGGAGCTATGAGTGTAAGGCAGTCTTTCTGTAGCCATCCTAGGGAGGGTTAGAGCCTCAGTAGAACCTATTCTGAGGCAAGGGATCATTCTAATAAATGAGCCAGTTACATATAACTCATGATGAGAAAAATCTTCAACAAAGGCCATGGTGGGTTACTGTAGGCAAGGGAACAGAAAAAGTTATTTCTCACTCTCACTCACTTAGGTACTGAATCACAGTAGCAAAATATAATAAGAACAAAGCATTTGAGTCCAGATGTGTGCTCTCTAAGGTGCAGTGATGATGATGGTGGACATGTTTATATGGGGGTGTGGGCAA